TAATGGAGACCATCGACCTCTTATGTTGATGAAATGTTAAATAAGCGTGACGTGTTGTGCTTTCCATTTGCTGACCAACTTTCCGGTTAACTGCTTATGAACTAAATAGAATGCATATATCTATCCACGTTATTTTAACAAAATGTATTCATTCGACTAAAGAATAAAAAATGTGAATAAATTCTTATATTAAATTATAAAACAAGTAGTCAGCGATGATTCCCCAGTTACTGAAATCTCGATATTGAATCAGAAATGTAGTGATTAAAAGTCAAAAGGTTAGCATAACTTTGTTTGTTTGAACGCATAAATATTGATACAAGGAGGCACCAAATACATATGCGCCACACAAGTCACTTAATTTGTGTGTGGACTGTGATACTACCCGGGTGCCCAAACCGAAGCAGATGATTTCCTTGGGGGGGCCACACCCGGAGCCTTCGATCTAAAGGTCGAATCCACAAGGCAGTGGAGCAACGTAAGGAGATGCAGTTCCAACAATTGGTTCATACGCCATTTGTTCCTTCAGGATCATGGAGCCCATGTGCACCATTGGTTTGGAATCAGGGTTTTCAACTTCCCTAGGTAGATCCTCCATATTCACCAACCTGGTTAAAGCGCCGAACACTCGCTTTTTGTTCTCTCAACTTCGTAAAAAACACTCCTGCCGCGAGAAGGCAGTGAGTAGGACTTCCATGGTAGTGCCTGTATACGCGTGGCCATGTGAGAGCACTTCGAGAAGGAGAGCGGACTCTCCCCACCCTCGGTCGTACCAGGGCATTTGTTGGCTTAACTACCTACATCTGTAACAAATAGAGCATACATAAACTTTTTTTTTCATTTTAGCTGGTGGCTTAGTTAGTCGACGAATGAGTAGTACAATACCTGTAGCTAGAAATAGATCATTATCAATGGAAGAATATGATCAACCAAAAGGTGCATCAAATTGTATATTTCATAAAAATCGTAAATATAGTACAACTACTGGGAGATTAATACAAGATGAAAGTCCAATTAATGAACAAGAAGATCAAACTGAAGCTTAATTATTATACTCAAAATTATATAACTATATATAAACTTATATAATTAGATCGTTCTACCTTACTATTTCTGAAAATAGATTCTCTTTTTTTTAAAAAAAAAACAAGTATCATTATACATATACAACAGTAATAATCATGTATCTTGATTATACAACGTTCTAAGAGGTTCAACACTACAATTTCAACGCACTCTCTTTTTTCTTTACTAATAACTAGGCTTTTTGTTTCCTACTTGTTTATTTCTATCTGTCTAGTTTTACAAAATTATTCTTCAGTAATAACAATTAACAATTTTGTTTAATGATTTTTGTACTGTTTTCCTTTTTCTTTTTCAAAAAAGAAAAGAAATAATAATAATCTATTTAGTAAACTTATTAGTTAGGAAAAATTTTCTTTTCTCTTCTCTTCTTTTTCTACTATTACTACTACTACCACTACCACTACTACTACTACCATCACTATCACTACTACTACCACTACCACCACCACTACAAATTCTTATATTGTCGATTGAATTACAATCAACAACAACAAAGAAAAGAAAAGAACAAGAGACCATCCGTCATGAAAATAAATCTTTAGTTGATAATTATTACTATTATTATTATAATCATTTTGTATTGTATTTTTACTGTAGTTTTTGTAATAATCATCTTATACTTTGCAGCTACTATTTACCGACTATTCAATTCATTGTCACCTGCTTTTTCATCCTTTAACTCATTTCTCTTTTTGAATGATTTCTAAGTTTGTTTATGTTTTTTTAACAATTTAATCTGTTGTTTACGTTGAAATTTGTTTGTAGAATAATTAATAATAATAACAATATGATTATTGTTACTTATTATTCGTGTTAGATATACTATAGACTTTTTTATTTAATGAGTTGATGAATGTTTGCCTATCAACCATAGCCGACAGGTTCAGGAGGTGAGTAGATGAGGTTATCATCATGATCCAACCGACTTATATAGGTTGGAACACTTTTCTCATTAGATATTACTATATCAGATAGGTCAGTTGATGAACGGTATGAGTAAAAGCAAAAACTCAAGGTCTGATGATGAAGTCGTACTGTTGACTGTAGAGTGGTATGATCAAAGTAAAAATTTTCCCTCAGAGATCCTGTCATCCCATAATAGAAGGAAGGGGTTAGGAAAGATCGACTCTAAAAACGTTACACCTTATCTTACCACATGGATTTCCGTTTCCAGTGGTAAAACCATTAAAGTACGCAGCTAACACCTCAAAAACTTACCACAAAAAGGCTGTGTGTAACCAATCTCAGACAGCTGTCTCTATGAGACAGTTTATTTTATTTATTTATTTTAACACATAGATATTGGTACAAGGAGGCACCGAATACATATACATCACACAAATCTCATTTCATATGTGTGAGAGCTGTGATACTACCCGGGTGCCCAAACCGAAGTAGATGATTTTCTTAGGGGGCCACACCCGAAGCCTTTGACCTGAAGGTCTAATCCACAAGGCAGTGGAGCAACTTAAGGAGATTGTTATAGCCCAAAGCCGCCAATCAGAAGCAGCGAATTATTGATCGGATCAAGGACGCGTAAAACACGTGCGAGCAACCTAGAGTTCTGATTGACTCAGCTTTCCGCCTAGCTCAGCCAGTTAAGTCCAGAACACCAGTCTCAGCCTCTGCAATATGAATCATGTATTTCAAACATACTGAGTTTATATACCAATCAAGCAGACCACAAAGTATCAACAAAATATGAAACAACATTTGTACAAGAATTAGCCGTATGTGGCTGTGAATCAGGGAGGTAGTAATTAATACACAGGGAATAATTCAAAAATGGAAAATCGTATAATATCAGTTCATAGGTTAAAATAAAGCTTATTATAAGAGACATGAATATGAATAGTTTAGTTAGTTAACAATTATACGACAAAAATATACACACAGTATTAGTCCATAAATAGATCCCAAAAAATTACCACTCATTATTCTTATCGGGACACAACAGAGATGCAGTCCCATGGTAGCCGGTGACCAACGATTGGTTCATACACCATTTGTTCCCTCAGGATACTGAAGCCCATGTGCACCATTGGTTTGGAATCAGGGTTTTCCGACTCCCCTAGGTGAACCCTCCATGTCCACCAACCTGGTTAAAGCCCCGGACATTCGCTTTTCATCCTCTCAATTTCGTACGCAACACTCCTGCCACGAGAAGGCAGTGAGTAGGACTTCCCTGTCAGAGGCTATATATGCGTGGCCATGTGAGATCATTTCGAGAGGGAGAGCGAACTCTCCCCACTCTCGGCCGTATCAGGGCACTTGATAGCCTAAGCTACCGGAGCCAATTAGACAATAAACAAATATCACGATTTGAATGGACAAATAAAATATAACATTTACTGGTGTATAATGAATAAGATTAAGAGCAAACTAAAAAGTTTTTTACTAGGTCATACCACTGACAACAAGACATCAAATACTAACTAATAAAAGCTTAATTATTTGCACAAGACATAAATAAATTGTATATTTTTTTTCATTAACATATGCAAAATACATATAATAAACTGTAATTAATAGCAAATTCGAGTTGATGAAAAATGTTTTACACATCTTTCTTCACAGTAAAAAGTTAAGAAATGAAATGACACCATAATACATACCTGATCTGTAAATAAGTCTACTTCAGTGACTCAATATAACGAATCTCCACCTTACATCTCAACATAGGGCACACGATGTTGAGTTTGTTGGACTAATCACCACATAACAACCTGGTCAATTGAATCCAATCAGCAATAAGGACTTCATAGATCACTACTCAATAATCAACCAATTGCAAATATATCTGAGTCCTTCGAGAGGTCAGTTCAAACAGTTCAGCGGTAACGTTTTTGACTGTGATGCTGGGTGGTATGGGTTCGGATTTGATGGGGAACATTCGTTGCCTCAAAATTGCAGGTACACTTCGTTGACCATTACTAAATAACCCGAAACCTAGTCTCATTGTTTCCTATCGGCTTTCTCCAACCACAACCTTACAACCTAATATAACGATTTGGTTCCGAGAAACATCACTAGCGCGATTATGTATGTAGAAAGGTTTATAGGCAAAAATCCACCTCATTATTTATCATTCACTAAAAATAGTGTACTTACCAAATCCAAGATTCAGATTTAAGCTATATACAGTTCAATATACAGATTACTCGTATACCTTGAAGCTACTAATTTATTTTTTTAGATGCACGTAAAGTGAACTCAATAAAATCTAACCGTTTGTGTACAGATTACATTTATAGTCATGTATCAACATAATTCTGAGAAACTCACAGCTTACATTATCGCATTCAGCGATTGCTATTACACCATTATTATATGAATTTTTTATATACTCTCAAACCGATGTCGTAAAGTTACTTTACCCACTATTAAGCGTCATTCGGTCAGAAAACCAGTTGGTGTATACAACTGAATGCACTAAAAACAATTTAAGTATATATATATATATATATATATATACTAACATCCCCATCCTTCATTTATCCAATTTCCACTCATCATCTGTCCGCTTAAATAGTGACTCCTTGGAAAAAATTCTTCCAGCACATATCATATGTATCTTTAATTACCACCGTTGTACAATATACTGTTTTGCCTAAGTATCACATCGAGGAATTATACACTTTGTCATTAACCCGTTATACTGAAACATACAATTGGTAAACATATATATCTATTTAACATTGTTGTCTAACTAAATAATATCAAAGACTTTATAAGTTAATGAAATTATGCAATATTCGCATAAAACAAAAATTAGAATCCCGCATGCGGGATCGTGGATGAGCACTGGTGAGGAGTTCCATACTAGGACGAAACGGTCGTCCAGTACTTTCAGGTTTTCAATGTTGGTCGAACATTGATCGGTCCATAATTTCAATGAAATAAGAAAAAGGTTTAGACAATAAAAAAACAATTGATTTATTCATTAAGATACATAGAATAAAATATCACTTCATTTAACAATTATTACATCATGGAAATATACATGTTATGCGAAGAAATAAGTTAGTTTAATTTCGGTAAACTGCTGCGATTATCTACATACTTCTTTTTAATAGTACTGGTGGTAGTAGAGAGATTTTTCATATTTGATCCACGAACTAATGAACGCAAAAATGGTACAAAAGAAAAATAACCCATTTGATCTGCTCCTTTAATTGGTCGAGGACCAATTATTTTACGCCGTCTCAAATATAAATGTCTCATATTATAGTATAAACCTGCGGAGAAAATAAAAATCAATAAAATACTGTATAAATAAAAAAGAATATAATTTATCTGTCCAATTAGAAATTTGTGTATTTTGGGCGTCGGGGTTGGGGAAACAAACTAGGTAGGTGAAGAGTAGTAAGATAGTATTCTGTTGACAGGGGTAATTTACGGGAATGAAAGTATGACAAGCGAACATCTGATGCTGAAACCGGGTCGGTGTGTACGAAGCATCTAGCTAGGGGTGTTGGAAAACTCTGATCTCAAAACAATGGTATACATGAGAGTGGCTCAGAGATAATGAGGGAAAGAATAGATGTATGAAATAGTTTTATCGTATGCTACTATTAGACTGCATCTCTTGAAGTTTGAATCCTAGAGGGAGCATCTCTTCCCTCAATATGGAAGGTAAACCGTAATAATGACGAGTGTACTAGCACAAAACGTAGGCCAAGCAGGATTTCATGCCGGGTGCCTTTTAATAACTAACATTGTACAATTCGCCTGATTAATTATCATTTCATAAATATCGTTGGTTGTTAGCATGTTTAATAAATATAAGCTCGAAAATTCACTTACCAAAAGACATAGAAAATATATAGATTTGCAGAAAAGTTGTAAAATCAAAGCTAACATTAGCTGGATTCGGTAGTTCTAAACAGAATTTTCGAGACTCAACCAATGAAGGCAGTGATCGAATTATTAATTTACCTAATAATTAGTAAAAAGGACAGAATACATATTATTTTCTCACAATAAATAATGATGGAAATATAGAGATCAAGAAAAAAACATCCCCTGTTGAATTGCTGATTACTAAATCTCAATTTAAGTGTTGATATTAGTAATAATAAGTCAGTTAAGAATTTTGAACAGTAGGATTGTGGTTAGAAGTAAAGTTCACAAAGCAGAGTTTCATCTTATTTAGGACTCACTAGCTGAACGTACCTGCATCTCAATGTTTATGTTCATATTGGGACTTCAATCTAGTACCTTTCATTTCACAACCCCATGTATTCACCACTGACTTACTTAGTCCAAATACCCATTACCTGTTCAACAGGTATAATGCTTAAAAGGTGTTAACTATTATTCCGTTATTGGTTGATATTCAAGACTGAATTTTAATAAATCGTTGTTGGCATATATGGGAATCCAGCATGATTACCTCGATTTAACCATGCTGCTAGCTAACAAAACCTAAATAATATGAAACACCAGTCCTGGATTCCATTGCTGGTTATGGTATTTATCTACTCTGAATAACTTGCGGCAAAGTGAATAATACATAGAGGCGATCCGTAGAGAACTCACATATATCCCTGTTATGTCCTGACAAGAATAATGAATGGTAACTTTTGGGATCCATTTATGGGCCAATACTAAACGTATATTTCTATTGTATAATTATTAAGTAACTAAACTATGGATATTCATATTCCTCTTATTATAAGCTTTATTTCGACCCATAAGCTATTATTATACGTTTTACCATTCTTGAGTTATACCCAGTATATTAACTACTACCTCCTTCATTCACAACCACATATGGCTAATTCTTGTACAAATGTTGTTTCATATTTTATTGGTACGTTGTGAAATATAAGGATTCATATTGCAGAGGCTCGGATTGGTGTTCTGAACTTAACTGGTTGATCTAGGCGGAAAGCAGGGCTAATCAGAACTCAAGGCTGCTCGCACGTGTTTTACGCGTCCTTAGTCCGATCGATAATTCGCCGCTCTCTGATCGGCGGTCACAAGTTATAACAATCCCAACAAAGACTGAATAAAATTCAATTCTAAATATCAGCAGTAGGATAAGATCCAAAACCTTAAAAATATTGACAGAATTACTTCCTTCAAAAAGTTATCAACTCTGTTAAAAAAGGAATCCATTAAATGAAAGTTTAAACAATAATAGTAATAATAATTTCAACCAAATTATTCATCTATTCATTAAAATAAACTAGATGATAATATAGATGTATAATTACTACTACTGTATAGCTAATTGTAATTTATTCTGCGATAATAACTAACCAGACGTTGACCCAAACAGGTGAAAATATATATATATATATATATATATATATATATATATATATATATATATATATATATATATATATATATATATATATATATATATATATATATATATAACATGATGTACACTATCTTGATGCAAAACCACTAGTGGTGTAAAAGTCAAACTTTAATCCATCCATTTATGATATTGCGTGATCATGTTTCATTACCTTCGGTGGGAAACTTTTTCATACTTGACATGATTTAGCTTCTAACTATAAACCTAGAAATTTCCTCTTGAATTAAGTCACTGAGTACATATGAACTGAGCATCATTTGATTCCGGCTCAGTAGTTTAGAGGTCCAACGTTCTCACGTAAGACTGAGAAGCAGTTCGTTCTGTTTTATATTACGGACGCGAAACATGGTCATTGAGGGTAGAGGATGCTCGTAATTTACTGATATCTGATCACAGGTGTCTTAGAAATTTTGCTCGCATCAGCTGGGCTCACCCGGTAAGTAATGCTGAGGTTAGACGCCAGGGTATTAGGGAATGAGGTTGTGGATCTTCATCGACTGAGATGGTTCGGCCACATATTACACATGCCCAACCACCGACCACCACGGCGCGCATTGCTGACTATTGTTAGCGACGGATGGTAGAAAGTTAGGAGAGGCCAAACAGAAACGTGATGTCAACCCAGAAAGTCACTAACTTTGCGTCTGAGCCATGTTGGTAGATGCAGACTATTTGGTCGGTTCCGCGCGACTATCATAACCAATGTTTGGAGACTCTGGGTGACATGAATCAGAATCGATCACGATGGCGTCGGCAGATAACTCTGTCTGCCCTTAAACCATGAGATTAAAATTACTTTATACCTTTCTTTCTACCAAGTGTTTCTTTTTCCCTCTATCATATCCTGATATGAATTCGGCGTTCATCTTGTTATGCTAATGAGGTGTGGCAACTTGGACCGACACATATATGTACCTGGTCGTACGTTGTAGACGAGTGACTTACTGATTTAAGGTTGATGCACGCTGCTCAAGAGTCCCATGTCAGGACGAAACGACTGTTCAGTGCTTCCAGGTTTTTAATGGCTGTCTAACTGAGACTGGTTCGTGATCTGAATAACATACTATTTACGAAGATAATAAAAAGTAGCATCCGTGAGACTAGAATTTATGGACGACCTTTGAGAGACGCTAGAGTGACCTTGAGAATGTCCACCTACTAACTAGGGCTAAATGAGGGTTGTTGGGAATTAGATTTAGAATTTTCATCACGAGCTGACATCAGCTAAAATACCAAGACGTTAGGTAGCCAAATGGATGAATGAATTTCACGCCAAAATTCAAGACCTATTATCTTATATCTGATTGGTTCGTCCATAAATTATAGTTTCGCCAAAGCATTATTAATAAAACGTGTACAAGAATTTCTGAAATCACATTCACACTACTAACTCCTTCATAAGCCCTCAAGAGGATGATGAAAAGAAAAGAGAATAGTCAATATTTTTCACAACGTTATGTGTTATATTCCATAAAGAGAGTTTAATATTCACATTTAGACACAAAATTTAATGACATACGCAACTTCAGATGAGAATCTTGAAGAATACGAAATTCTACTTATAACTGAATAATAAAATTACGTCTGTCTACTAGTTACATAATCAAAACCAATGTCAAACGTGGTATATATCGTGTATAGATCCATATCGCCACATTAAACATTATGATGTTCGAATGGTGAAAGGCATAAACTCAATAAGTAGTTTTATAGTATAAATATTTTTTATAGAGCAAAAAAAAAATGAAAGAATCAATACAATTTTGAGATAGTGGAGATTTGTAGCGCAAGTGGGTGATTTTGATAGAGATTTGTTCTCTGAGCTAGATGGTTTGGTCGTGGAGTTTTTATTGTTCTTTTGAATGACATCATCAGAAGCAAAAACTTCAGGTAGAAGTCTACTTCTATCTGAAGTTTGTGTTGATGATGTCATTCAAAAGAACAATGAAAACTCCACGACCAAACCATCCAGCTCAGAGAACAAAACTCCATTAAAAAATAAATAAATAAAATACAATTCACTAAAAAAAAAAAAACATTAGAAAGACAACCTATCGGTATTATTTATTTATTTTTTAATTCTTATTTACCTTCACATATAAATCCAATAGGATATAATATTATCCCCAATGTATGACGTAAATAAGTGATAAGTCCATTTTGAAAACTTAATAATGATAAAATGTAATATGGATATCTGTAATAGAAGAAAAAATAAACGAGTCAATGGAGTAGACATAAAAAACAGATGAATATTAGAAAAACAACAAACATATTAGGTATACCGATCATAATTTTTTCTTTAAAGAAAAAAAACATTATCAGCTTAAACTCACAATTAAAATATAACATGGTGTTCAGTAGATTTTACATTCATAAGTATATTTGTTAATAGTTTGTAATGTCTAGTACTATATATTAAGTCCATATGGATTATTCTAGCTACCAAACAGATCGATTTATTTATTCTTGTACAGTACTCGCTTCGGCTGTACATATACTAAAATTGGAACGATACTGAGATTAACATGGCCCCTGCGCAAGGATGACACGCAAAATCGTGAAGCGTTCCATATTTTTGCCTTCAAATGCCCTGGTATGGCCGAAAATGGAAAGAGTCCGCTCTCCCTCTCGAAATGCTCTCACATGACCACGCGTATATAGCCTCTGTCAGGGAAGTCCTACTTATTGCCATCTCGTGGCGGGGGTGTTGGTTACGAAAATGAGAGGACGAAAAGAGAATGTCCGGCACTTTAACCGGATTCCAAACCAATGGTGCACATGGGCTCCAGTATCCTGAAGGAACAACTGGCGTAGGAACCAATCGGTGGTCACTGGCTTACATGGGACTGCATCTCCTTACGATACTGCACTGCCTTGTAGATCAGACCTTCAGGTCGAAGGCTCGTGGAGTGGCCCCCTAAGAAAACCACCTGCTTCGGTCTGGGAACTCGGGCAGTATCACAGCCCTCACACAAATCAAATGAGATTTGTGTGGCGCATATCTATTTGGTGCCTCCTTGTACCAATATCTATTTATTCTTGAGTTACATTTTAACCTTGTTGATTACTTGCTTATTAACCTTGACTGTGTTAAGCTTATTTTTGTTTGATAAATAAATATTGAGTCATGCTTGATCAAAACGAGTTGGCTTACTCACCTTCTCCGATCCACTTCTTATTCTGAATATTTTTCTGGATAAACGAGTGCCTAAAATAAATTCATCCAACGCAACCTGTATTTAAATTCTTAATTACCGCTTTCATACAAACGGGGTTAACCTAGATAATATACGGAGTTAAATGGAAATTTTATGCTTTTTGCATATTCATACATTCATTTAAATCGGAGTCAGATCAGTAGCATAACAAAAGTGGTGAACCCGACGTGAAATGTATCATATTTACTAACGTGTACAGGTTTCTACGGTTTTCAATTACACTTGATATTTAGGTAGAATGTAGGCAATGATTTACTAATCAGTTGTCAAAGACGAATTACGTGAAATAGAGTTCATATGTGAGAAATAATAATTGAAAATCAAGTGCCTTAATCACATAAACTAATAATGTCACAATCTCTCCTGTTAATATCGAATTTCGTTTTTGTTTTTTAATTCATTCACTGGACAGGTAAATCGTAATACGGTTCAATGATCAATTACATATCCATACATTAGACTAGAACGTAAATACGCTTAGAATGAGTTAATATATACATTACTACTCTATTTCTAATAGGCTTACATTAAAACCTTTTCAGTGTTAAGCTATCAACCATTAGCTTGAGACATGAACAGCACATAAAAACACCTTTTCGGAATCTCATAAAGTTTGTATAATTGGAAATTCTGTAATAAAAACTACGTCTCTTGGTGCAAATTTTTACTTGGACTTCCATTAGTATTCTCATGTTTTATTAATATTGAAGAAAGTTTCTTGTCTGACTCATTATATAGAGAGGTCACATTTTTACGCCATTACTTATCACCGATAATTTATAAGAAAGCTATTCTTAAATACCGAATCTAGAGGAGGTCGAGGATTATTTGACATTTACTTTGTGCGGTTTGTAAATGCTTTTTTCAATATTGTATATTATTATTTACTGTTCTCTATTATCCTTCCCTGAGGTTTTGAGAAAGGTATGTATGGTGAATCTTTTTATTCTATCATGAATATGATTGTGGATAGACAGTTGAAATCTTTCAAAATAATGGGAAGCTTTTTTTTCCAAAAACTAACCATCTACTTCAATGACATTTTTTGGTAGGAAGAGATGCTATTACATTAGAATTTAGGCACGCAAACAAAAGTGCAAAAGTTCTATAATACCGTATCTTGTACATCTACTATACGACGAACAGGTTGTAAGACTTGAACCAATCAAAACTTATTTTCATGAATGTGTTAGTAATTCAAAGTTGTATAGATTCTTTGTCTCTTTGAAGTATTTAATTTAATTCTAGATAGGTTATTTACTTCCTTCATGTACATATGCATGCACTTACCTATTATTTCAATGTTTTTGTGATATAAAACGAATAAATATTGTATGCGCTAAAAATCCCATATTGTACTAGACATATAGTATTGAACAGACTTATTATAGAACAATAAAAACAAGGTTATACAAAACATCTAAACTTTAAAAGACTCTGACAACCAAAAGGACAGATTTATTGTTTTTAAGGAAAAAAGGCTTTTAACTGAATTACTTTGAGGTTTTTAAGAAAGACATGATTAAGGTCATAGATCGATATCGACGGACAGTCGCTTTTATCGAGACCTAAATAAAAAAATCAAAATAACGCTCCATTCACAATGTGTACCCGTAGGACTATGCATGTCTCGACACCTTTTCCCGTAACTTTATACTCTGCAATTTACGGAGGTGTACCTATCGGTGGAGTTTGGAAAGTTTCGTTTCGCTGGTTTCAAATAATTGTGGTGGGCATTTATGTCTTGATTCACAAGTGTTAAGGCAAGTGTGACTTAGTGACAAGTCTGTATTAGGGTGAAACAGCTGTTCTATCTTCCTTGGTTCTCGATAGCACCTCAACTAGTGTCATGACGAATGCCATCTACGAAAACCGTTACACATATCAAAAGAGACTCGCTAACATAACAGCTAATAAGAGATGGAAAATGCTCTACAATGTAAAAGCACCTCACAAGGTCATACTTCTCATGAAAACTAAAAATACAATATTAACGATGGGATGATGAGATGTTCGGTTTAAAGTGGGCGCAGATCACTTACCTAACAACTTCAATGAGACTCCATGAAAAGAAAAGCCAATAAGTTGTAGACGCAGAATGGAATTCAGCATGTGGCAATACAATACAAAACAAAACAAGGGAACGACCAAACAACTATGGGCAGAATACAAAAAAATTTATGAATAAAAATTTTTGGTTTTAATTTTAAAAACCATTAAAAAGCTAAGTAAGCGTACAAAGAACCGAATATTGTAACAGATTATTCTTGAAAAACTAGTTATTACATTTCATGAGGACACTCAAAAGGAGTCCGTTAAAGTTTAAATAAACCTACTCAACTGCGACTCTGAGTGATATTTATTTAAGTGACTATTTAGTGGTCGATCAATTTTATGTAAGATGTAGATAATTAGATCACAGAAGAGAATATTAGTTAAGTGGACAAAAATGATTATTACTGAAGAAAGGATTAATCTCACTACTATTACGATGTATGCTATTTATGTCGATATAATATATAACACCAGTCGGAAGTGGAATGTCTGACAGCAGAAGGTTGGGAAGATAGAATTGAAGAGAACAGGAACAGACAGTAGTTGCTGTGGCGATGAAGGACGATGACGTTCAAGACAATTGATGGAGGATTTGAAAATGAAGTACTGAACGTATGGTTTTCACACTTCCCCAAAGAACTCTGAAATTTTGTGTTAAAAAACGTTGGTTGTTCCCACCTGCGTTCTCGTTCACAACAATATGACAGGTGGGATTAATCATAAATCTGCATGAAAGTTGTCAGAAGTGAGATAATTTGGAATTATTTTAGAAAAAACATAGTTCTTCATGTAAAAATGCTACGTAATACTTAATATGTTGCATAGTGGTTTATGATGATTCTTAAACGATCTTATGGTAATTTGCACGGAAACATATTCATCAGATTACAACATTCAAGAGTGAGTTTTTATGACAATTTGAAGATTTAGACTACAGTTTGATTGAATGACTCCTCCCTTTACTTTTAACATCGAGGTCATGATCTTCAAATAGAACAAATAAACCAGGAAGATAATAGTTAAAATGAACACCTAAAACACACAACATGAACTGGATTATATTCATTCACTGATAAGTTTTACAATCTAGAACATTTTGTAGGCGAAATGTTAACTTTGTGAAGTCAACTAATATTCGTGGACAAGATTTGCTGTGTATAGACTTCAATCAGTCGAATTTTAAATTTCAATTAACAGATGTAAATCTAGAAACAAAAACTACAATCTGAAGATTGATTGTTGATTGCAAAACACTAGCAGAAAAAACTATCCCATGTCACGTTTATCCTATTGCTAAACAACCACTGTTAACATTAACGATTACGTAAGTAAGTATTACTTCCATTAATAAACGTCGCGTATCAGTCATTTAATGTTAAAAATGTTGACATTTAATAAGTGTAGTACGCCATGTACAGCATTTGTATTCATGTTTAGATATTATTCAAAAACGTTTGCCTATATTTGAACCAAACTAACAAGAATATCACAAGATCATAGACAGTTTTTATTTTAAAAATAATATGAGTACCGGTTATGCCCTCGAATACCTTAGTAAGGCTGACGATGGGGAGAGTCAGCTCACCATCTCGAAATGCTATCACATGGCCACGTACATACAACCACTGACAGGGAAGTCCTACTCACTGACTTTTCGTGGCGAAAAACGAATGTCCGACGCTTTAAGCGGGTTGATGAGTATGGAAGATCCACTTAGGAGAGTTGGAAAAACTTCATTCCAAGCCAATGGTGTACATGGGCTCCGGGATCCTGGGAAAACAAATGGTGTATGAACCTATTAATAGTCATTGGCTACCATAGGACTGCATCTACTAACGCTGCTCCACTGTCTTTGGATTAGATCTCTAGGTCAAAGGCTCGTGGAGTGGCCCCCTAAGAAAACCACTCGCTTCGGTTTGAACGCGTTCAAATAAATAAATAAAACTACCCCACTATATCAGCAGTGGAAACATGAAATTACCAAGACAAATTTCAAAGTAGATGAAGTAGTAATAGTATCAGTCGTAGTACAAAAGATTGAGTACACGCCATATGAGTCGATGAAAAATGAACAATGAATTAATGGAGTAGGAAATCCTATGATAATTTTAAAACTCAAGATCTAACGAAAGGCTGATAGATAAATAGATCTGCTTCTATTGTGACTGATTCCAAGTCATGTCACTCGTTTCCAACCACAGATAAAGAACAAAATTAGGGCATAAGAACAGCAATTGGTATACTTGTATTAAAACTAGAAACAATAAGTATTAATAGGTGAAATAAACTATTCCTTTGTTAGTACTGTGGTGTGTGCTGATGATGTCGACAGATATAGGTAGTATGTATCATCATTTGAAAGTGAAATGTCTGGAGGTAGAAGGTTAAGAAGATCGAAGGAAAGAGAACGGGGACAGAGAATGATTGATGTGGAGACGAAAGAACAATCAAATCTGAGACTATTGATTGACATTTTGAAAATGAACTATGTATGGGTCTCAGATTTTACTAAGAGATTCGGTAATTTTGTATCGAAATACATTCTGTTGTCCTCAATTGTGTTCTCGTTCACTACAGTACTATTAAAATCCTGCTTTTCCAGCAAAACGCTATACAAAAGAAGATCGTTATTCGCCAAACGTAATAACAGTGTGTAACAAACAATTCACTAGGTATAAACTTAAAATCACCTACAAAGAATAGAAACACTCCAACCAAAACATATTAATTATGTACTGTTGTAGTCTGAAAGTTCTGTAAAACCGTGATTACAGTCATAAATCACTGAAATAAAAGTAAATAAACGTTTTCAATATGTACATTGTGTAATCACGCTTCACAAATAAATAATGAAATTGACTTGCTTCACAGTATTCAAGCATAATCAAACTGACATAACAAGTATTTAGAAGAAATTTTCTTACTATATTTACAGGCGGATTTTGTTATATGCTTAGAATTTGAAGCAAATTCTAATTTATCTACTGAAGAAATCGAAAACTGAGCAATAGTAGTATGAATTTATCACCGTCTTATAAAATTAGCACTAAAATTCTAAGAAACGTTAACCACAAGCTATATATAACCAAGCGATTGATTTTTTTTAAATTTTGTAATCTGTATTATGAATTAGCCTGAGTTCAATATTCACTGAAAACCAGGAAGGACTGGACAAGTGTTCCGTCCTCAGGAATAAGTATGCACAATCACACTAGAGATTAGAACTCAGAGCAAACGCGAATCCCTTAAACTATTGAGTCGGTATTTAACGGCTTACATTCTGGACTTCAGTTAAGTCGTATTATTATGTATTCATCAACCGATACGATTGGTGGGTCACTCCCTAACACTAAACATGACTGAGAACTCCGCTGGCCACTAGAATTGCAGGAATTATGTCTCTGAATTGGTTACTACTCAGCACATGATAGTGGACCGTGGATGAACACTGCTGAAGAGTCCTATGATAGAATGAAACGGCTGTCCAGTCCTTCCTGGTATTTTTCTGGTCGTCTAAATAAGGCTAATTCGTGATGCAAACCATAAAACTCAAAAATAACCACAAACCCCTTACATTAATAGGTATTTTGAACTGCTCCTAGTCAAGTTGAAATACAGTAAGAATTCGATCATTTTACCTGTTGAAGCTACAGTTTACATGAGAGAAACCACATAACGGCAGAAGTAAAACCTATCCCCACTTTAAACAGTCACACCTACCTGAAAAACTGAAGGTAAGGCACTCCCACCACGAATCCAACCTAATGAAGCATGCAACGGTTCCAAAATTGATAAAATTTGCACAAAAACTAATCTATCGATAATCCATTCATAAAATGGTATTTTATGCACTTCTTTATACTGCATTAATCCATAGACCAGAGCTCCACAAACATAAAGATAACCGGCGAATTGAATGACATTAAAGAGGAACAAATAAATTGTCAAAGGATTTTTAATCACTGAAAAAAGGATGAAAAATAGCATGTCATGAAACTAGTAATAATACATGGAATTTAAAGAATTCAAATAAGTAAAACTAATTGGTAGGCTCAAGCAATCAGATATCAGTTTAGGGTCAAAAGATAGGTGCTGATGAGTGCATGTTATTGGTCGAAGTTTAGCTTGATTATCCGAGAGACATCAATATCTGTGAATGAGTATGCGGACACATTTGATCCAGCTATTCAATAAAGTTTCCTATTGAACCTTTGTTTTCTCACTCATGTTGTGTTCACACATAGTGTGTTTGCCAGTATCAGTATCAGATGACCGCCCGGCACAACATATCTTTACGATTTTGAATAATCAAGTTACAGTTTAAAATCAATTGAATGCTTTATCACTAGAAATCGTAGTAAATTATATCTACTATGACATTAAGGTGTTTTTAACTCTCAGTACATGACCAAAACAGGGACTCGAACAAGATGGGGAAATATGGGGTAGGTAAGAATCCCGACAACATCCATGGAACAGAGGTTTGATGTCCAAAACATCAAACTATAGACCGATCAATTCCAGATTCGAACCCCGATCCACCTATTTTGGTTTAATCATTAATAGTTTACTTCGCTGATATTGGTGTATGAGTAAGTCGGAAGAAGGCTAAGGGTGATCAAGTCAAAACGCGGCATCAGTTTATTAATCTATCGGTTATCCGACTGAGCCGTATTGGTAGATGCAGACTTGGTTGGAGCCTGTGTGATTATTGTAACGATGCCCCCGAATTTCCTGGTATAGCCAAGGGTGGGGAAAGTCAGCTCTTCCTCTCGAAATGCTCCCACATGGCCACGCGTATACAGCCATTGACAGGGAAGTCCAGCTCACTGCCTTCTCATAGGGGCAGTGTAGTTTACGAAATTCAGAGAACAAAAAGTGAATGTCCGGCGCCTTAACTGGGTTGGTGGACATGGAGAGTCCACCTAGGGGAGTTGGAAAACCCTCACTCCAAACCAATGGTGCACGTGGGCTCCAGCATCCTAAAGGAACAAATGGCATGTGAACCAATCGTTGGTCACCGGCTACCATAGGACTGCATCTCCCAAAGTTGCTCTACTGCCTTATGAATCAGACCTTTAAGTTGAAGGCTCCGGGTGTGTCACCCTAAGGAAACCCCTGCTTCGGTTTTGGCACCCGGGCAGTATCACAGCCCTCACACATATTAATGATAACTGCTACTTGTCTCATTGTTATTGTGTGGTGAATATATATTTGATGCCTCCTTGTACCAATGTTTATGTGTTTTAAATAAATAAAATGTAACCGATAACTGAGAACGTCGAGCGACATGAATTAACATTGGCTCAAATGGCCTAGATGTATTTGTTTGTTTCATTGCCTTAGATCTTGAGTTCTGAATTTATCTTATACTTTTATTTCGTGAACCCGCATATGTTTCTTTACCAAAACGGATATCACCAGTAGGTAACGATATAGAGGTTTGAACAGACAATTCTAGATAAATAGAGCACTGGGTAGAATGTAAATAATAACAAAATAATGATGTATTTGTGATATCCAGTGAGTGGAATTTTGAATCTTGAAAACTTTTCGACTTAGTGTAAGCCACTTCTTTATAATAAATAAACAACCGAACTAAATATTCAGCATTTTTTTCATTTATACAATTTAAATATGTCAATTTAATCCATCTATTTACTATGAGGAACTGGCCTACACTACATCACAAAACGTGAGAAATTAAAATTTATATCCATTGGTCCATCACAAGTATATTATTATTTTATATTGCCAGCTTTATGAAAGATTATGACTAGTTTCAGTAGCCCAACACAAAATATCAAGTACAACTTACGATTCAAAAATGCCTCCCATTCTTCTGCATCAATAAGCATCATTTGTTCTGCATTATGCTTATCCTAAAACCCAAACACATCATAAAAAAGGGAGATTAACTGCTACATTAAAAAAAATAGTGATAAAACTCGATAACAGTGAACCAATTCGGTTGAATAAAACATACGATTTGTCTGTTCTATTGGGAATAGACTTACGGTCAAACATACCTGAAACCTTTGCATGCTACTTGATTTTGATGTTTGCAAAATAGACGGTGTTTTAATTCACTACAAAACATAATTTACATGTGTAGCAACTGATTTTTCAAACCGCTTTAATTACTAGGTCAAACTAGATAAAGATCAAAACTAATCGTAGCACCTTGTTTTGTAATGACTAAGACAATTTCCCCATTAAGTGAACAGATTATGATCTCCGAGCTATATGGTTTAACTTTAAAGTTCTTGTTGCCGTTCTGGACATCAGCAAAAACACTGTATTTTGTATCAGTATACAGAAATTTTGTTAAAATGTCTGAGTATTTCGATTATGATATTTAAATTAATGTGTATTTCATCAACGTTAAAGCCTAATGGATTAGTTAGACAAGTAACAGTCCTGGTATAGTGCTCTACATTGATTCAAGTTGTCGTAATTCTCCTGATCGAAATTCCATCAATCTGATTGACCTATTACGATGAGAAAACCACTAAGCAAAAGAAATGTACTCATAAAAACAATCCTTGATAAAGATTATTTCTATTCATATATTTTATTAAGTGATTTTTTTGAATAAATATAAACAATGGATAAAGAATAAACTTACTCTCTCCTCTTTTGATGGATGTACAACGTTAACATTGAGACATTCTTCTTCATTATTTTCCAAATCAGAGTCATTAAACTGATAACGATCGAAATCAGGACGAACCCAAGGTAGACGCTGATTTCCTAACGTTAACCTTGACCATGAATCTTTAAGTTCTTTTCGTAATTTAACATTAACAGATAAACTTGTAACGACATATCGACTTTCCTAAAAAGTTAATACACAGGTTATAATATTAGTGAGATAAACGTTTTTAAATAAGTAAATTATGTTAATCAAACATAAGGTGGTATTTTAGTGATAAGAATACTCATGTTACATAGAGCTTATACTCACTTAAAAATATGATACTCGTTTATAATGTATTAAAGGTATAAAAAGGGGACGAGCTATATAATTAGTGAAACACTAAGGAGCAGTAGTAGAGTTGTGAGTTATCATATTTCAATCCTAGAGATTACAATTTAATAATTCATGTCTAACAATACAGCCACCAACTATACTTAAATTCTATGACAAATTGATGTAGATCAGTTTTACTTATCTTAAACATGTGAGTTGGTTAATTACGGGATAGAATTCGCATGGTGTTTGGAATGCATGATATTCATACACATCCACTATCATTTCCGATTTGAAATATCGAATTAAACTTGTTAGACAAACAAGTCATCGGTCATTGATTTAAACCATATGAGAAAGTCTGAGATTTATTGATAAATTATAAAATGATACGTGTTGATTAAGATCACTTAGAAATGGCTCAAAATGAGTTCTGTAGTAATTATATCACCTAACAGATTAGCGTAAAACCGAACAGCCTATTACGTATGGCAAAAACACAATTCACTTCTTTTCATTTGTTTTGGTATTTCTTCTTTTTTATCATTACTGGCAACTTTTCCTTTTTGTTTCGTTAAGATATTTATTTGTTGAAGGCTTTTAACTCATAATCACCTCTGAATTTTCTTTCTATGATGTAGGTGATCAAGTTGCAAATCATTTTATCATCATAGAAAAAGGAACGGTCTAATCACGGAAGCAAGTGTTTCTTTCAGGATAATCAAGCTGAAATGAAATAAGCAGGTTTAATTATTGTAACGATGAAGCAGCTTGATAGAAATTTAGCGGTGAGAAATAAAAAGAGAATAAAATCAAGTAGAATACATCTTAAACATAAAAACTTACTTCAGGGATTATAGGGAGATAATATGAGATAGAAAATTCATATTTATTAACACCATCAGCTCCAGTGCCCATTGCAGAAAACATAAAGTCTTCTTGGTTGATAACAATCGAATCAACCTAAGCATCTACTGATTGAAGATCAAGGTGAACATACATTTGCATTGGCTACTTTAATAGAAAGAAATACATATTCTTCCGACTGACCCCAATAAACAATTGGATGAATACATTTGGTGGGATTAATCATCTACAAGTAACAAAATTGCTAAGATGAAAAAATTCATTAAAAAAAGAATAATCTTAGCAGAAAATAAAGCACTAATCGAATACACAAGCTCTTGTGACCCACAAACACAAATAATAATGTAGAACACTACAGAATTGATCAGTTTTAGCTGTAATACCTTCTAACAGTATTCCAAAGCAATTCTAGATGCAAACCATTTAAGAGCACACTTTAAGTTCAAAGATTTTGTCTTACAGGTGAAGTGGCTTACTTGTGTAGCTCTATGTTTTTTCTATGAGAATCAGCGTCAACACTTGTATAAGCAGAACGGAAAAAGAGATTAATCAATTCGCTTTCTACATTTATGTTAGGGATGGGCAGGATCAAATACCATACTTAATAAGTGCAGAAAGCATGGAAAAACTTATATTTGCTAGTTTAATATCTAAACAGGTATCTGAATACGTTAAAGATCGGATAATCTCCAAGAAAGTGAATAATATTTATGTTGGTGACAAAAACTAATCCATAAAAAACATCCATGCTGAAATAGAATTAAGCTGGACGTAGAATACCCTTGGCTAACAACACAATAAGATCCATAAGCAAGTTTCCCTTGAAAATCATGATGATTGATTACTAAGTGAATAGCAATAGTAACTTTAACACCATTCCCTTGAACTTCGCACTTTAATGGTTTAAAGACAAAAAAGAATATACAGCACTGAACTCAATAGTGAAATGACAAATTTTTATTTCAGCATTAAAAAAGTTTATTATCGAGACGAAATAGTTATTGTAGCTTAGATTTCCCAAATAACATTCGCTACTGCATCATCGGCTAAAAACAACACATGTACACCTGGGACTTATTAACACGCAAACTTTTCACTAGCCAGAACCAAAGATAATAATCACTAACATAAGTAAGATATCAGGCCAGTACTACCACAGAAGCTAGAGGCGATCACATAAAATCAGTAGTGTCAATGCAGATATATTTACTCTTCTTCTGAACCATGAACGTATCATTCTTTTCATCTTCATCACTGGTTTTTTTCACTTTCTGTTGGGTTATTCCTGGATTTAGAATTATCATTTGTAAATCCATTTTCTCTTTTTACCTCAAGATCTTTACTTACCATTCTCGTATCAGATGTGAATTGGACTGCCACGCAACTACGTCGCACGCAACATTTTTTGCAACTACCATACAAATCACAGATTGAATATCAGTAATTTCCTTAAACACACCATCCAGTCCATGTTAACTAGTAGTGAAAGACTTACCACATTCCAATTTTCCTGCAAACAACAAAAATATCAACTTAAAAACGGAGTTTCCGACAAGCCTGTGATTTGAGTGCTTAGCACACCTCATCTAATTCCGAAATGATCGTCACCGTTAGGGAGTTAATATTAAATACCTAAAACGTTTGACCGGAAGTTATATACAGTCTAAGCTTTCTAGCTTGGAAATCAATTAGTTATCTTTTCACTAGCCACAAAACCCATAACTGATAAAAAAGCTGATTCTCTTGGTTTGTTATTTGCTGAGAATCACTGCAACATAAAATTATTTTAAAGTCTGGTATATTCAATTTGAGGTGCCTCGGATTTATGAAAGCACTATATAGTTCTCATGGGTCTACGTTTACATATTTCTGAGGTTCAGTGACTAGAACATGAAGTTACTTATTTGTTCCTCTGATATTGTTTAGGGCTGTGGTCCACCAGGGTGCTTGGTACCTGTGTAGTTGCGCCACAGGATTGAGCTGTACTATTCAGACTGTAGCGTTAAAGCCTGTACGGTGTCTGGTTCCCCTGCTAAACGGGGTTGAGCTGCACTGTTTGGGTTTTTACGTGAAAGTCTGGATGGTATTTGGTTCTCCTGAGAACCAATGTAAAATTACCCTGGCCCACAAGGGTATATTATATAACTGTGAGACCTCCAAATGCCCTGGTATGGCCGAGAGTGGGGTGGGCCCACCTTCCCTCTCGAAATGCTCTCACACGGCCACGCGTATACAGCCTCTGTCAGGGAAGTCCTACTCACTGCCTTCTCACACCACGGGTATTGTCTACGAAATTGAGAGGACGAAAAGCGAATGTCCGGCACTTTAACCGGATTTCAAACCAATGGTGCACATGGGCTCCAGTATCCTGCGGAAACAAATGGTGTATGAAGCAACCGTTGGTCACCGGCTTACATGGGACTGCATCTGCTTACGATGCTCCACTGCCTTGTGGGTTAGACCTTTAGGTCAAAGGCTCGGGGTGTGGCCCCTTAAGAAAACCACCTGCTTCGGTCTGGGCACCCGGGCAGTATCACAGTCTTCACACAAATCGAATGATTTATGTGGCGCATATCTACTTGGTGCCTCCTTGTACCAATGTTTATATGTTTAAATAATCATAATAATAGGGCTGTATTAAATTGATTGTCATGGATAACATAAGACATCACCAAAGAAAGTGGTTACAAAGCTTACCATAGAATATCTAGGTAAATATAGGCCAAGACCATGGATGACGCAAGTGATAAATACTAAGTTATCAAGACATTTTATTATATAAGTGTAGATATGTGGGGATCTTAGGGAAAAAATCAACTTACTATTTCGCCCTGAAAGCATCTGCAAACCCTACAGGGACTAATTGACCCACCAGATATGTCGAATAAAGACAGCTGATACAAAAAGCAAGTCTAAATACACCCTAACCTCCGTCTGCGTGATGACCCCAAGCAGGCAAACGCATTATTGGTTATAACTTCTGAACAAAGAAATATTTTTTACAGTGTATATTAGGATAAAATTTAACACATGAACAGTCTGTAAATGAGAAAACGCCAAACAGACACCAGGTCTGTTTATGTTTGCTAGTTCACGACCCTTTTAGAAATTTTGGCGACAAACCTACGCATTTGCTGTGGATAAGCCATAGATACACTCTAGTAACGATTTCCTTTTGTGCATTACTTGATGGGAAACCATGTCAGTGGACAGACTCATCTGCCAGGACATATCACCTTTCAATATCATATCACATATTATTTCTATGAATACCATGCAAAATATTCCACAATCATATCCGTTGTTTTGCTTTATGACATTAGGTAGCTTTATATCTACAAAAGAAACACCTAAATAGGTGCATAACTTGTTACACAAAGTGATCGCCTCTGAAAAATTAGGACTAGAGTTCAGGGAGTCCAGGTAAAAACCGTGTACAAGAAGTGGTGAATAAACCAGCAGTGACCAATGACATCCACCAGATGAAACTCGTGAAGCAGAATCATTGATCACTAAAAATACCCAATCCTTTGACTTGAATTCTAGAGGATCCAGCACCAATCTAATTGATTCCTCATCCATCAATTTTAAAAGTTGAGATGCTGCTGGATCCATAAGAAGAATATTTGATGAGTGGCATAATTTTGTATGGCGAAGGTACTCCAGATGGAATGTGATTATGTTATCATTGACGAAACAACCCTCCTTCAAAGTATCTAGATCATCTCTGTGTAGAAGGGACTCGTAATAATTTAGAATAACATCAGAAGACATAACACACTCCTCTCGGGTTACGTAATTAGATCACAAAGTAATGGATAATGACTATTATAACGCAAGTACTGAAAGTGGATGACCTTCATCTGCTTGTCCAATACATCAGTAGTGAGGATATGATGTCTATCAACCTATTAATCCGTGCAGTCTGTAGCACTTCACAAACTTAGATCATGTGTTACCACTTTGTAAAGTTTTAACGTTCCTACCTCAGCCAATAATGACGAATCAGTCGCAGCTTGTGTAAAAGCGTATTAGGCAAATGTCCAAATCCTCATGCACACAGGATCATGGACAATCAAAATTGAAGTCTATGTGAGAATCGACTGAACAGTCTTAAGGGATTTATCCAGATAAGTTGCCAACTCAGAGTACTATGGAGTGGACCTCGTAAATATTCAACTTCCTTCGGACTAAAACTCAAATCCTTTTCTCTTCAAAACAAAATGCTGTTAAAGTATATTAGGCCACTAGGTACTAACCAAAGCAGCCTCTATAGCGTTAAATTATAAATGTAACCCCTTAACCCTGGAAAGACTCAGAAGAGAGTATAAAACACAGCTTGTGAAAAGCTCTATTGCTATGTTCGAGAGATAAAGATATCACTTAGGACCCGCGAGCAGCACGAAAGTCAACAACTCAACAACAGGACAAACCTAGCTATTCCTCTGTCAACTAGAGGAAGAAGGCTAGATACATCCAAATATATATATACAGTTCCATAAGCATCCTGAAAGACCAAACATCAAGTACATAACTCATGCGTTTATATGCGACAAAATATCCTTGAAAAATGTCACAAGATAACGTTCTGGAAGCAAGAACTAACCAATGACGTTTAACACACTTCCAGATGGGAAACACAAACTGAAGATAAAAAATGAAATTTTGGCGAGAAAACTTGTAACTCGGATTTCTACAGTTAAATCACAAAAAGAATAAGTTTGGCACCACTCCATTTTTAATAGCTTATTTGCTGGGTGTTTACTTACATCTTGACTGTTTGTAGTTGTTGTCGATGTGACCACCTCCTGGGACGTTGGTCGATTTGTTTATGAACGTCTATCTTTGCGACCGTCTTACTTTGAAGGTGTCTATCAGAACGTCAGGCGATAGATCTATGTTTATCAATGGGAGATCCGGGGCTAACCGTTCACGTTTATGGCTCTCGTACTGAGTCCACCTGTCTCTTCTCACCTCCACTTCATACATGACAAGTATCCGCATTCTGACCACACGTACGTCTGCCCAAAGATCATGGTCTGGTCTGTATTCTGAAGCGAACACCGGACATCCAACCTCGTACGTCGGTAGCTCCTGAAACTTAGTCTATAGTGGTGTCGTTCTTGGCAGCATCAGGCTGTGGGCCATTCTCAGCCCAGTACGAAACTACTACAAAACATTAGATTACAGGGATTCTGGCACAATCAATGTCTCTCCAAATATCAGGCTTCATGTCACCACGAATGGCAGTAGTCAAGCAAAATCCTCCGTGGTCTTCTGTTGAAAGAGAGACGATAACCATGTCTTTCTTTGATAGGTCGTGACAAAGCCTCTGCCTGACCATGGGGACGACTTAAAGAATGGCTTTGAATAACAGAGTTCAAGCAAACAAATTTCAGGAGACGGTTATGACCTGTTAGTAGAGTAAATGTTCAACTATATAAAAACTTGTGGGAACGAGACACAGCAAAGACAAGGGCTAATGCCTCCTCCTCTATCTGACTGTAATTTTCTGCCGGAGTTGATGTGTGGGATGAATGCATAATAGACTTTTCTAACGCGTTCAGAAGTTGATATGAGATGACAGCGCCGAGTCCAAAAGCTGAAGTACCCTCAGATACAATGATTGACATGAACGGACAATAGTTAATAATAGTCTTCAATATGCAAAAACCTGCTTCACATCCTTTTATTCAATTCCAAGTGTTTCTCTTCAGTAGACGAATCATTGAGGACCAGATGTAATGCATCGACGGTAGAAAGGTTGAGTAAAAGCTGATTTATTTGAATTGCATTTATCAAACTTTTGCTGTGTTCTTACGCAACAAAAGTACCATTTCAGTTCTAAAGAATCTATCCTGAGCTATACGTTCGGTAGATTACTTTTTTTAGTTTCACCATATTTAATAGTTACCTGTGGTTTTGCCTCAGCTTACTATTCTGTTTGTTTTTGTTTTTCACGTACAGACTAGTTTCAGTTTATATCACTCGTTTTATCCATTTTTGTCCGTTTTCAGTGTGCCTTTTAGTGTTTTTTAAAGGTCTTAGGCTTTCGCAAGCATCCATAACATAGTTCGTTTCAACATAGTCATGAAAAAATCATGCAAACGTCCGGGATGCTGTTTTGCTGTTAAAACTGGCATGCAGTGCGACAACTGCAAAGGTTGGTTCCACGAAGCATGCACAGATCTGACAGCAACTGCTTACAACAGACTCAGCAAGTCAGACCAAAAGTGGGTATGTGTCACGTGCAGCACGGACGCTGTAGTCTTGCTGAGTAACATCACTGTCCTACTGACAGGTCTTCGGAACAAGTTGTCAGTCAACTTGGATAACGATAGTAAAAAAACCGGTAGACAAATAAGAGCGTGCGACGGATACAAAAATAGGGATGTCGACAGGTATACCATCGATGGAGCATCCATCAACACTAATGATGACGTGTCGAGGCTCAGCACCATCATTACGTCGACGGTATTAGACTCCCTAAGCAAACTCGGGTCTCCCAGCTCAGGGTCCCTGAACAAAACAGTGGTTCCCAAAAACCCTGTAGGTGATTCGACCCACGTTAAGAGAGCCCAAAAGAACCAGGCATCACCGCCTAAGCCGAGCAACCCAAGTGTTGCTGTACGGAAAATAACTGGTGATTTAGTCGCACAGTCTACCCCCAAGACTGTTCGTCCGGTCAATAAAGAGCCCAAGACTCAAAAACGCGCACTGACCTCCAAACAACAAGTTATTAAACCTGAACCCATCGTGAAACCTTGTAAATTAACAACAGTTCGTGACGATTCTCTCATTATCATGAACCTCGTTGACAATCCTGACCTTCCTCTCAGTCTACAGGACAAAAATGACAGGATGCTCTGGGGTGAATTGAACAAGTAGCTCGAACTTCCTAGAATAGAGCCTTTGACGGTCACCCGGCTCACTGGAGGAAAAAATTCTAAGCATCTAAATCACCTGAGGCTTCTCCAAGTAACACTTAAGAATGATACCGACGTAGAGGACGTCTTGCTAGCAAGTCACTTGCTGAAATCCGATGGTAACGTAAGAATATTGCCCGACATACCGTACTCTGAGCGCAATATCATACGGAACATCCCTAAAGAATCTCGCGAGAAGTTTTTCCGCGGAAGAAACATAATTGTGCAAGGTATACCGGAAAATGCAGACATTACTCAATCAAATTCTGACATCAGGGAATGGAAATTCATCAAACAGTCCTTGAGGCTCAAACACATACTGACTCAGCATGTGACGAGACTAGCCAAGAAGGACGGTGATCTTAGACCCCGTCTAATGAAGATAACCTTCCCATCTTCCCACATAGCGGCTGCAGTTCTGGAAGCACTTCGTGCCAACAGACGTCGATTGCCACCTGGAATCCACATGCACCCGGATAGGCCATATGAAGCTAGGACCAAGTACAAAGGCAAGTTGGAGCTGATCATTCCACTTGTGGACTGTCTAAATGATAAAAAACGTGTAAAGGACAGGGCCTATCACTTCGGCAAACCTCATGTAGGTGGGCTACCTGTCCATTCACGTGAGGTTCATACAGACAAACAGGAAGAAGCTCACGCGTTTCAAATTGAAAGCACAAACTGCTTATATATAAACGCCGCGAGTCTACCAAACAAACTGGATAAACTACGTGAACTTAGCAATGCTAATAAGGCCCATCTCATAGGAATATATGAAACCTGGATATCTTCTCAGTTCTCGGACCATGAGTTAGCATTACCTGGGATGTCTTTGTTCCGCAATGACAGAAAATCAGGATTTGGGGGCGGAGTGGCTGTTTACATACGTTCTTGCTTGGAGGTGCATCAAGTTCATAACCTCGAGTTTAACAATCTTGAAGAATCTATAAGGCGCTCTGTAAGATTGTCCAGTACTTCGAGGTGTCTAGTCGGAGTCATTTACAGGAATCCAACTGCCGACATCGAGTATGATAGTCGTATGCTAGGAGGACTATCCCGCTCTACTCGTCTCGGTTTCAGACACATCCTGATTCTAGGGGACTTTAATCTCCCTAGAGTCAACTTCGCGGAACACACGTATACTGGAGGCGACAACTCAGTTGAAGCTCGGTTCTTCAACCTTATCGATGACTTGGGCTTATATGAAAATGTGAGGTCGGCAACTCGTTGAAGAAACAGTCGGACGCCATCGCGCTTAGACTGTGTATTCACAAACGAAGAATTCCTAGTTGACAACCTCTCAATCCTGGCTCCTCTGGGAAAGAGCGATCATGCCGTCATAGCCTTCAGTTTTGTCATCAAAACTAAGCTAAGGTATCCCAACAATAATTTGCGTTGGAATTTTAAACGGCTGAATGTGCCAGCTCTACATGACTATCTACAACAGGTGGTTTGGGATGTTCACCCCCAACTCGATGTGGACGGTCATTGGGACTTCTCATTGCACACGCTGTTATGTGCTACAAAACACTCAGTTCCTCAAACGGTTCCCAAAAGCTGCAAGCCACCTACAGTAATCAAGAACCGTACTCTTCGCCTGCTAAGCCGCAAAAGGCACTGTTGGGCGGAAAACAAACGAACTGATAACGACAGAGCGTATAGGCAATATAAACATATCACGAACATATGCACGAAGGCTGTAAGAGAAGAAGGGCTTCAGTACCAGACAAAGCTTATGGACAAATTTGCCTCTGACCCTAGAAGCCTATTCCGTTATGCAGCCTCTCTTCGTCAAGCCAAAACAGGAGTTTCTCAACTGCTAGGTCTTAACGGCCCGACCAACTAAGATGGCGACGCCGCTAACCTTCTGGCGGCACATTAATCTCAAACATTTCAACCGGCTGACATCAACTTTACTGACGACAGTTTCATCTGCAAT